TTCTCCACAGTCAGGAGTTCTTTTGATTTGTTCAGCTCTTCCACATTTTTCAAGTTGTTTTCTTTAAGTGTGTCCAACTTAAAGACCAAGAGAAAAAAGCTTGATGAAATTATTTCATTTTCCAATGACATGAATGAACAAATTATTCATGAAAGTGTGTACTGAAAAGACAGATGAAATTAGTCACTTGCAAAAAAAAAAAAAAAAAAGGCTCCTGGGTGAAGAGATTACAGATGACAAGTCTATTACAAACTGCAAACCTCCTCCTTACATTTAGTCTGACATATCCTGTACACCTGGCCAAAATGTCAAACTAAATTGCTACAGAGAAGTAAAGTTTTCTTTTATGTTGTGTACAATTCTCAGCACTTATCACGGAACCTGCTATTCAAATATGATTCATTAAAAACAAGAAATAAAATGCAAAGCAATGACATCAGCAAGGATTATTCTTCGTAATGAAAAGAAACCCTTTTCTTTTCCCAGAGATTAGTGATTTAGGATATGATATTGTTCAGTGTCACTACCAGATTTACATAGTCCTCATTACAAAAATTATTTATTTGAATCAAAATTATTTGTAGATTGGAAAAAAAAAATTTAGTAACCCATCTGAACTTGAACCTGAAGAGGAAAAAGTCACGTTGTGGGACTGAAGGGCACTTACACCCATTTGGCTCCATCATTGGCCCACGGGGATGCAGCCAGCCGAGGGCCTGGCCCTTGGTGGAAAGCCAGAGCTGTCACTGGGATGAGTGGGGATGTGACTGATCATAGGCTGTGGCAGGTGGCTGGAGCTCTAGGTGCGGAGCCACCACCAAGGATGGCAGCTAATGTGGGCCTCCATTGCTCAAGGTGGCTCCTGGGGCCATGCTGGCTTTCTGAGCCCTGAGAAGTTGTCTCCTACAGGCAGAAGAGGGAGCTAGCTCCTTTTGCCATGCCCCATGCCACCAGTCAGGAGTCCTAGAAAGTGTCTTGCTAGTTTTACAACTACCATCTTCCTTTTAACACCGAACATTCCAGATTAACAAAACAAGAAAAATAAAGTATCACAATGTGTCTGAAAACATGGTTCATCCAACCCTGAATTCTGGCTGTAACAAAGACACCAAGGGATCTGTTACAGAACGACACAGTTCCCCCTGGTTCCACTGCTGCAAGTTACACACATTCCCTAAAATCCTCTCACTTACTTCAGCTCTTAATTTTGATTAACAGCTATTGATTTTTTTAATGCTTTTATATTTTTAGCTTAAGTCATCTTCTCTTAGGATTGTCAGTTCTATAAATGTGCTTCCTTCTACGTGAACTGTTGTTATTTACCATATCATTACCTCCAAATGTTCATCACCTTTGAGAAGTTGATTCTTGACCTCCACAATGAGAAGGACTAGTCTTGACAGTGGCTCCTCAGTTTGGCCACCGCCTAACCCTTGATTTCCTTCCTTAATGTCTTACCTGCCTATTACTTTTAAAAGCATCTGGGCGGGGCGTGGTGGCTCCCACCTGTAATCCCAGCACTTTGGGAGGCCAAGGCGGGCAAAGATCACGAGGTGGAGTTCAAGAACAGCCTGGCCAACATGGCAAAACCCCGTCTCTACTTAAAATACAAAAATTAGCCAGGCATGGTAGTGGGCACCTGTAAGCCCAGCTACTCAGGAGGCTGAGGCAGAAGAATCACTTGAACCCAGGAGGCGGAGGCTGCAGTGAGCCGAGATTGTGCCTTTGCATTCCAGCCTGGGCAACATGAACAAGACTCCGTCTCAAAACAACAACGACAACAAAACAAAAAACAAGCAACAACAACGAAAAAAGCATCTGAAGTTGCACAGGACTTCACATAACCATTTTGGTGCGTCAGTCGGCTTAGGATTTAGATAACAGCTTTCCAAACAAAGGGTTGGTATGAGCTGGGAGGGTGGGAGCAGGGAAATCCAAAGAGGAGGAGAAATGCTACTTGTGGACAGAATCAAAATATCTTGACGCCACATATTTGTCCCTGCTCCAAAAGTGACTCATTCAAGATGACACAAAAGGAAATCAGTACTGAAATGGGCCAAGAAAAGGCCTACATCAGACTCAGGACTGAGGAATGCAACTTAGTGGCTCAAAGTTGGGAAAGGGAAGAGAAAAAACGATGTGTGTGATGTAAGTTAAAGGCTACAAAAGCTAAAGCAGGCCATCAGTAGCTCTTCTCACTAGTGCTATCACTAAATAGTCATCTTAGAAAGCCACACTATTAGGGTTTTTTCCTCAATTTGTAAAGTTGATCCTAATAAGTAACGAAGTGATACACTTTATTTAAGATTATCATGACTCTGGAATGCATTTCAAACCTGTGTAAGGTCACACTTCAAAAACATAAGCAATCCTGAGTTAGTGATCAAACATTCCACGAAGTTGGTAAGCTGTTCTTTGTATAAAAAGCTATTTAAATCTGATTACTTCATTCTGTAGTTTTGCATTTGTTTGCTTGGTGTCCTCCAAGGAGGCCAGAGTCTCAGTCTTCTCTTTGGTCATCTGTTCCATTATCTGCATGGCATCTTCCGCTGTTTGAGCAGCCTAAATACAAGGAAACACTGTGAGAAATGAGGACACCCCTTGCCAACACCGTTAGGTGAGGATCGGGCTGTGCCGTTCAGGCAGCACTCAGTGTCTGTGTGGGTAAGGGAGGCACACAGAGAGGGTGAATCAGTCACCAATCCAGTGCTGAAACAGACAGACCAGGACAGGAAAGGTCTTTACACTAAAGTAGAATATACAGACTCTTTCCTGCCATTTTTCAATGTCAATTGTTATGCAATTTGCATGTTTTCAGAACCTCTAAACATACATCTTCCAATGAAAGTTCCAAATGACACTGGCAGGCATGCTCCCTTCATTCTGACTTAAGTTTGAGAGACTGTTCGGAGGTAACAATGAATAACATCCTAATATAGCTGAATTTCTTGGAATCATATTTTTTATTATAAGTTTAAAATATTATCCTTGCTATTTCAAATCTGGGGCTTTTAAAGTCACTCAAATTTAGGCTGAGAATTTTTCAAATAAATATAAAAATTATTTGGGCACTTCTAACATGAGGCTCAAGTGTTTAATGAGAAGTACTTAATGCAAGTTGTGGGTAATGAATAAAAACATGGCTGTGAATAAAAAGATGCATATGGAGACAAATTCTTAGCTGCTATCAAAATTAATTATAAAAAGTGAGATATAGGCCGGGCGCGGTGGCACACGCCTGTAATCCCAGCACTTTGGGAGGCCGAGGCGGGCAGATCACGAGGTCAAGAGATTGAGACTATCCTGACCAACATGGTGAAATCCCATCTCTACTAAAAATACAAAAAACTAGCTGGCCGTGGTGGCGGGCGCCTGTAGCCCCAGCTACTCGGGAGGCTGAGGCAGGAGAATAGTGTGAACCTGGGAGGTGGAGGTTGCAGTGAGCCGAGATTGCACCACTGCACTCCAGCTTGGCAACGCAGCCAGACTCTGTCTCAAAACAAACAAACAAAAAGTTAGATATAAAAATAAATGAAAATATAGCTAGGCGTGGTGGCATGTGCCTATAGTCCCAGCTACTCAGGGGGCTGAGACAGGAGGATTGCTTGAGCCCAGGAGGTTGACAGCAGCCTGGGCAACACAGCAAGATTCCCACCTCTAAAAAAATAAATAAATAAACAGGCCACACACAGTGGCTCATGCCTGTAATCCTAGCACTTTGGGAGGCCAAAGCAGGTGGATCACAAGGTCAGGAGTTTGAGACTAGCCTGGCCAATATGGTGAAACCGAGTCCCTACTAAAAATACAAAGCTTGGCCAGGTGTGGCAGCACGCACCGGTAGTCCCAGCTACTCAAGAGGGTGAGGCAGGAGAATCGCATGAACCCGGGAGGCAGAGGTTGCAGTGAGCCAAGGTCACACCACTGTACTCTGTACTCCAGCCTGGGTGACAGAGCGAGATTTTCTTTTTTTTTGAGACGGAGTCTCACTCTGTCACCAGGCTGGAGTACAGTGGTGCAATCTCAGCTCACTGCAACCTCCGCCTCCCAGGTTAGAGTGATTCTCCCACCTCAGCCTCCCGAGCAGCTGGAACTACAGGCCCACACCACCACACCCTGCTAATTTTTGTATTTTTAGTAGAGACGGGGTTTCACCACGTTGGCCAGGACGGTCTTCATCTACTGATCTCGTCATCCACCTGCGACAGCCTCCCAAAGTGCTGGGATTACAGGCGTGAGCCACTGCATCCAGCGAGACTCTGTCTTAAAAAATAAATAAATAAATAAATAAATAAATTTCTTTTAGGCACTTGTTTATACTTTATTGGTCTAATAAAGTTTATGAAAATTCTGCAATTTTCCCTATCCAATTATCAGCCATGAAGATTTTAATGGAATCTTCCAACTCCAAATGGACAGACACAATGAAAGAGTTAAAAGCCAAACAGAAGACCCTATATTTCAATATGCGCCAATTTATTGCTTTTTTTTTTTCTTGAGACAGATTTTTTCCCTCTTGTTGCCCAGGCTGGAGTGCAATGGCGTAACCTCGGCTCACTGCAACCTCCATCTCCTGGATTCAAGTGATTCTACTGCCTCAGCCTCCTGAGTAGCTGGGATTATAAGTGCACGCCGCCACGCCTGGCGAATTTTTGTATTTTTAGTAAAGACAGGGTTTCACCATGTTGGTTAGGCTGGTCTTGACCTCCTGACCTCAGATGATCCACCCGCCTCAGCCTCCGTGAGCCACCACGCCCGGCTGCTTTTTTTTTTTTTAAGATGGGGTCTTGCTCTGTCATCCAGACTGGAGTGCAATGGCATGATCTCGGTTTCCTGCAACTTCTGCCTCCTGGGCTCAAGCAATCCTCCCATCTCAGCCTCCTGAGTAGCTGGGACTACAGGCATGTGTCACCACACCCAGCTAATTTTTGCATTTTTTGTAGAGACAGGGTTTTGTCATGTTGTCCAGGCTAGTCTCAAACTCCTGGACAGAAGTCATCTGTCTACCTCAGCCTCCCAAAGTGCTGGGATTACAGGCGTGAGCCACTGCGCCCGGCCTTATTTCACTATTGCTCTTAAGCCTTTAAGAAACCACAGTTAGCTTTTTCACAAAGTTCCTCCTTAAATTAAAAAATAAATCCTTTTTATTCACAGTTTGCAATTTTTTTCAAATGGGGAGAGACTACTACAGTGAGATACTTCGTAAAGAATCCCCCTTTCAGACTGTAACGAACAGCTTGAGACATATAAGCAACTGACTTAATGAGGTGGATTTCCATAAGCAGAAATGAAGAAAGATGACCTACACCACTTGAGTTAGTGCACAGTGTTAGTAAACAGTCTGGGTGCTCAATACTTGACCCTCTCACTTTACCGTAAATGACTGAAGAGTCTCGAGCTCTCTTATTTTAAGAGTAAGCTTGTTCTTGTCTTTCCTCAAAGTACGGTTTTCATTTTGAGATTCTAGGAGATTGGCTGAAATATGGCTGTTGGTTTTGGCCAACTGGCTGATCTCTTTCTGAAGGATGAAGTAGCTTTCTGCCAGCGTTTCCTTCTCCTTCAGGAGCTCATCCTTTTCCAGCATCATTTCACTCTTCTCAGCCAGGAGGTTCTGGTTGTCTTGCATCACCTGGGCTTTTTCGGCCAGGGTCACCTCATGGTTCAGCTGAAGGTCATCCAGAATCTTGGTGAGGCAGCTGTGCAGTTCCTGCAGTTCTGCCTTGGATTTGGACAAGGCAGCAAAATCACTTTTCAGAGTCTTTATATGGGCAGCAAGTTGAGCTGCTTCTGCAGTCAACAGTTCCTTCTCCTCAATTATCTCTGCCACTTCTTGCTCCGATTTGGTCTTCTCTTGAAGTAGCACAAACTTCTCGGACTGCAGCTCCTCGATACACACTCTTAACTCCTCCACCTCCTGCTCCAGAAGCACCATCCTCCCGTGAAGTTGATTGTTTTCGTACAAGGATGACTCTTTCTCCTTTGCTCTGGCTTCCTGTTCCAGGATTAAGGACTGCTGCATTTCCTGGATCTCCTCGCTTAATTTCTGACACTCTTCTTGCAGGTTCAAGCTATCTCTCAGCAAAATGTTCTTCTCGGAACAACATGTGTTAAGTTCAGCATCCAAACTCTCCTTTGCTTGCAATATGTGAGTGTGTTCTTTTTCCAGATTCTTTTTGGCATTTTGAGCCTCTTTCAGCATCAAAGAGAGGTCGCACTTGCTGGCCACTAGTTCTTGGTTTTCGTTTTTTCTCTCTTGAAGCTCCTTCTTCAGAGCGTCAATATTACCGAGGAGTTTCATATTCTCTTGCACAATTATCCTTCTGTTTGCAGACTCTTGATCACATTGCCTTTTGAGGTCTCCTATGGCTTTGATGGAATTCTCTCTCTCTGCAAGTAAAACTCCATTTTGGGTTTCCAGTGCGGATTTTTCTTTCAAGAGACTATCCTGATGCTTTTTAAGTTTAGTCATTTTCTGAGAAGCCATCTCCTTCTCGGAAGTCAGGTAAGTGATCTTCTCATTCAGGCTCATCTCAGTATGGGCAGCCTCTTCTGAGCATTTGTGGAGTTTTTCAGTGATGATTCTATTTTCACTTAAAAGTTCTTCTTTCTCAGCCAAGAGCCTTCTCTCAGAGGCAGCCAAGGTTTCTTTCTCATGCAGAAGCTGGATGCACTCAGAGTCTGTGACTGCCCGCCTGGCCTTAATTTCCTCCAAGAGCTTCGTGAGGCTTGTGTTTGTGGCCTGGAGTTGCATGGTCTCCAGCTCTGCCTTCCTCAGGGCCTTGCTGGCATCATCCAGCTGTGCGCGGAGCCCACTGGCTTCTGAGCGGAGCAGCTGTTTGACCTGGAGAGCGGCCTGGAGGCTGGCATTCAGCTTTTCCTGATCGTGCAGCAGCATGTCCGTCTCTAACTGCAGATCTCTGTTGTTCTGAAGAGCATTATCTCGTTCCACCTTTAAGGCTATGCACGTGTTATCGAGATTGGACAGTTTCTCTAAAGCTGACTTTTTCTCAGCTGTGAGATCTTCAATGTCCTGTACCAAAGCTTTCTGATCTTTGACTAGCTCCTCATAAGAGCTCTGCAGCTTCTGAATGATCTCATCCTTATCTTTGGCCAAGATGAAGTTTTCGGTAATAAGTTTCTTGATCTGGTCCGCCAGGTGATCTCTTTCTTCCTGGTCCTTCTCAGTCTTGGCAATCAAAGCATCTTTGCTGAGCTGGAGCTCTTCGATGAGCGTCTGCATGCTCACCTTGGAAGCTTGCAAAGAGTCATTCTCCACATTGATCTTCAAGAGTTCTTCCTGTGCAACATTGATTTCTTTAAGCAATTTCTCTCTCTCAACAGCCAAAACTTCCTTATTGAGATGTTCCTGCTCATACTGCTTTTCAGCATCTTGCTTTTCTTCTAAGAATTTCTCCTTTTCTAAATTAAGAGTTTCATTCACTGACCACAGTTTCTGCTGGTCTCCCTGAAGTAAAGCTATTTTGGCCTCCAATTCTACAAGCTTGGATAAAAGTGAACCGTTTTCTAACTTTAAATCATTTCCCTCCTGCGAAAGAAGCTGCTTCTCTGATTTCAGACCCCTCAGCTCTTCTGACATTAGTTCAATTTCTTTTTTGGCTGATGTTAACAAATAAGTTAGCGACTACAGAAACAAAAGATGGAAAGAATGGAAACAAAAATGAAATCAAGCAGACAAATGCAAGCCAAAATAACTTAATGTAACCTAAATGATAAAACCTTTACAATTTCTACAATAAACTTTATAGAAACTATCTGAATAACAAGGGAAAGAAACTAAACAGAGCCCATAAAAAGATAAGTCAAAAGTAGCTTTGCAAAGTGCTTCTTTATCTGTTAGCTTATTTTATCTTTGAAACAACTTGTGAAATTATTCCCAGTAGCTACCTAGAAGACAAAAACAGTAGCTTGATTTTAATATCAGGGCAAAAGATTCTTTCTTGCCATTCCAATTATCGAATTACTTTGAATACAGAAAGGATTCATAGAAGAATTTTTAAAAATACAATTAAAAGAAGTACAAAAAGTCAGTACATTTTAATAAAAAAAGGAAGGGGCATAACAAGGGAAAATAAACTATTGCCTTCCAAACTCACCGCAGGACCTTACTCAAGGACAGCCACTGGGCTGAGAGTGATTTAGTCCTAATATCACATATAACTTAAAAACTACAGCCTAATTTCTAGGCTTTGGTGACTAAAATGAATAGATTTTTTTTTAATTTACTGAATTATAATTTGACCACAGTGTCTATAACAGTGCTGTCCAGAATTTTCTACAATGATATAAATTTTTTTTTTTTTGAGACTGAGTCTCGCTGTATTGCCCAGGCTGGAGTGCAGTGGTGCAATCTCAGCTCACTGCAACCTCCGCCTCTGGGTTCAAGCCATTCTCATGCCATAGCCTCTCGGGTAGCTGGGATTACAGGGCTCCACCACCACGCCCGGCTAATTTTTGTATTTTTAGTAGAGACGGGGTTTCACCATGTTGGCCAGGCTGGTCTCAAACTCCTGACCCCAAGTGATCCACCCACCTAGGCCTCCCAAAGTGCTGGGATTACAGGCATTAGCCACCATGCCCAGCTGATATAAATGTTCTTATTTGCAGTCCCATCATGGTGACCTTATGACTACTGAGCACCTGAAATGTGGTGAGTGCAACTGAGGAGCTAAATTTTTAATTAAAATGTAACAAATTTAAATTTATTTATTTATTTTTTGGAGAGAGTCTCACTCTGTGGCCCAGGCTGGAAGGAAATGGCGTGATCTCAGCTCACTGCAACCTCTGCCTCCCAGGTTCAAGCGATCCTCTTTTAAGCATATATAAAAATAGAGAAAATAATGTAGACCGCATATATTTCCATATTAAGGTTTTTATTTTTATTTATTTTTTGAGACAGAGTCTCACTCTGTCACCTAGGCCAGAGTGTGGTGGCACCATCTCAGCTCACTGCAGCCTCCACCTCCCAGGCTCAAGGGATTCTCCTGTCTCAGCCTCCTGAGTAGCTGGGACTACAGGTGCGTGCCACCACGCCCGATTAATTTTTCGTATTTTTAGTAGAGACAGGATCTCATGATGTTGCCCAGGGTGGTCTCTAACTCCTGAGCTCAGGCAATCCGCTCACTTTAGCCTCCCAAAGTGCTAGGATTACAGGTGTGAGCCACCAGAACTGGCTACAAATTTAAACTTGAATGGCCTCACATGGCTGGTGGCTACTGTATTAGGCAGCACAGCTATAGCCCACTGGCTCTTAAAAGTAGGGAATAAGGAGGCTTCATGGGCTCCATGAACCTTGTTGAGTGCACACATAAACTTTCCCGAAAAAATATCTGTAGATTTCATTGATTTTTCCAAAGAGTCTGGGACTGATTAAGATCCACTGAAATCAGATACCAGACAACTTTGGAGGGGAACAGTCCTGGCATTTTAACTCAGTGACCCTTGCACAAAACCAACCAACAAAATTAGTGAGACTGGCCAGGAATGATGGCTCACACCTGCAATCCCAGCACCTTGGGATGCTGAGGCAGGTGGATCGCTTGCATCCAGGGGTTCGAGACCAGCCTGAGCAACATAGCGAGACTCTCTACAAAAAAAAATTAAAAATTAGCCAGGTGTAGTGGCACGTGCCTTTAGTCTCAGCCACTTGGGAAGCTGAGGCAGGGGGATCACTTGAGCCCGAGAGGCTGAGGCTGCAGTGAGCCATGATTGTGCCAGTGCACTCAGCCTGGGTGACAAAGTGAGACCTTGTCTCAAAAAACAAACAAAAACCGAGGAGACCTTACATCAGCTTCTACAATGCTGTGGTTTGCTCAGGCTGCAACATTTTAAAGAAAATACAGAAAAAACCTGAAGTCTGCACAGATAAAGGAAATCACAAAGACAAAAGATCTGGGAATTGTATCTAGTGTTAAATGGCTCACAAAACTGGAGGTATTTCACAGAAAGCAGAGAAATCCTCAACTATCAGCTGTAGAAGAGGGAGAATATGGGCCTCCCAGATGACATGCACGGCGCACACACACCATGTCACGTCCACTTAGTTAGCAAGAGGCTTTTCATGAGACTGGTTTCAAGTCCTAATATGCTCTTTTATCATTTCTTTCTACTAAACTCCCAAAACACATTAAAAATAAATAAAGATGAATATTTACTTTCCTTTGAGCAATAAAAGGTTAAATAGTGGGAAGGTTGAACTTTGTGAAGTTACCAGAGTCACAAAATACACTGGTCAGGCCAGGCACGGAGGCTCACACCTGTAATCCCAACACTTTAAGAGGCCAAGATGGGAGGATTGCTTGAGCCCAGGAGTTCAAGACCAGCCTGGGCAACATAGCAAGACCCCACTCTCTACAAAAAAAAGAAAAAGTAAAAAATATATATTGGGCACAGATACAATCCTGAAACCATAAAATGAAATCCAACATATCAAGTTCTGTTCTATCTACTAACAGGGTGTTTCCTCCCTGCCCTTGAATCCAGCTTCCTCATCAATAAGCTCACGGTGCCTTCCCAGGGACACATAAAAGCCCTCTGTGTTCTCAGTTCTAACTCTTCCTGGAAGAGCTCTGTTCCAACCAGGCTCTCTCTAGTCCTGATTCCTTGCTTGCTTCATGTGACCTCTGCCTCTTGCTTTACTGCAATGTCTCTCCTAACCCTAGTGCAAGGCGGCAATAAGCATGGCCAGTATTAGAGGAACAAGCAGGCAAGCAGAGCTCAGGCGATGGAAGAACCTTTGTGATGGCTGGGAAACAAGCAGCACGGGGGTGACAGCTACACACTCCATTCCAGGAAAGACCGGCCGCCATCACCGTCCCTGAGAAGGAATGGCAGCTGGCACAAAACACTTGAAGCCATAGGAAACGTAACGTACCACCCACGCACTCAGAAGGGTAACGTTTGTAGAGGCCATCGTAACTTGTCCCACTGGATGCTGCTTTCTAAGCACCCTTCCTGCCTTGACACAGAGCTCAGGCAAGCTACAGCACAAGGAAATTCTCTCGCATCACGTACTTTGGCTTTGTCGGCTTGCTTTCTCAGCTCCTCCAGCTCCTGCAGCAAGCCACTGTTCTCCTCCCGTGCGCCCTTCAGCTTGTCCTCTGTGTCCAGCAGCGTCTTCCGGAGGTTCTGCAGGATTTCTTCATGCTTGGTTTTTGTCTCAGAAGTGGCCTTCTCATACCCGGCTTTTAGCTCCTGACACTGGTTGTGGCTTGTTTCCATCTTCTTTTCCTGCAGAGACCCCGAGTGAGGGAATCAGTCATCTGCCCATGTGTGTACTACCCCTTGCCTTCCTTTCCAGCCAACAGACCCACTGAGTCTCTCCTTACCAGGTCCGACAATTTCCTCTCCAATTCTTTCTTTTCTTCCTCATGCTTTTCAGCTGCTTCTTGCTGGCTCTGTTCAGCTTTGAGAGTCATGTCCTCAATACTTTTTTGCAGAAAACTTGCATTTTCATTAGCCTTTGTAAGTTTTAGCTGTAATTCTTCTACATATCTAGAAAAAGTTTCAACATAAGGTGTCAATTTTTCATAAGAATGTTTTAAATTTAAGAGTTATATTAAAATATACTACTAATAACAACTGTAGTAATTATTTTTAAAAGTTATGTGTAATTAATAACATCTGAACTAGGCAAGAAATTTTAAAATGCTTTGCCTAATCATTTTACCAATTATGACAGTTACAAATACATTATTTACAGTAACAACTACTATAATTGTGAAGGTTTACTATGTCAATAATTTAAAAAGGAAAAATGAGTGAAAAATAAACTTATTAAAGGAAATGAGGCCAGGTGTGGTGGCTTATGACTATAATACCAGTGACCTGGGAGGCAAAGATGAGATCACTTAAGTTCAGGAGTTCGAGACCAGCCTGGTCAACATTGCGAAACCCCGTCTCTACTAAAAATACAAAAATTAGCTGGGTGTGGTGACGCATGCCTGTAATCCCAGTTACTCAGGAGGCTGAGGCAGCAGAACTGCTTGAGCCCAGTAGAAAGAGGTTGCAGTGAGCCAAGATCACGTCACTGCAGTCCAGGCTGGGCAACAAAGCAAGACTCCATCTCAATTGAAAATAAATAAAGGAGGTCAGGTGCGGTGGCTCATGCCTATAATCCCAGTACTTTGGGAGGCCGAGGTGGGTGGATCATGAGGTCAGAAGATCGAGACCATCTTGGCTAACATGGTGAAACTCCATCTCTACCAAAAATACAACAAATTAGCCAGGCGTGGTGGCGGGCGCCTGTAGTCCCAGCTACTTGGGAGGCTGAGGCAGGAGAATGGCATGAACCTGGGAAGTGGAGCTTGCAGTGAGCCGAAATCACGCCACTGCACTCCAGCCTGGCCGACAGAGTGAGACTCTGTCTCAAAAAATAAATAAAATAAAATAAAATAAAATAAAGGAAATGAGTATTTTAAAATTTTAGCAGACTAGATAACCAAAAATTCATTCTAGTGCTTCTGGAGGACAGAAGATACAAAAATGACAGTAACTCGAAGTTCTACTTTAAAGAGACCACGTGGTTGAACAAAAACATGTATACAAAACATGGGGAGCCAGCACATTGGCTCACGCCTGTAATCCCTGCACTTGGGAGGCCGAGGTGGGCAGATCGCCTGAGGTCGGGAGTTTAAGACCAGCCTGACCAACATGGAGAAACCCCGTCTCTACTAAAAATACAAAATTAGCAGGGCGTGGTGGCGCATGCCTATAATCCCAGCTACTCAGGAGGCTGAGGCAGGAGAATTGCTTGAACCTGGGAGACGGAGGCTGTGGTGAGCCAAGATGGCGCCACTGCACTCCAGCCTGGGCAACAAGAGTGAAACTCCATCTCAAAAAAAAAAAAACATGGGACATTGACCAAGAAAACAGACTATCAGATGAATCAGAGATACAAGAGGGAAACTTGGGGGCACTTCTGGTTTTTATATCCACAAAACACCTACAAAAATGGAGCTTTATGAAGGCACTGAGCCACCACTACCTGGGCAGCAGCACCACCTCAAGGCAAGTTTGACCAAAGTTGCCCAACCAAGGCCTGACCACCACTCAGTGCTGACAGAATTGTGTGAGGGTGAAAGACTGGATGTCTTAATAAATAGAACTTTGCAGGTATTAACACTTTTAAGAAGTAGAAGTCTAATGCCTACAGACTTAATTTATAAATCTTTGCCTTATAAATTTTGATTTTTATATGAAAGCTATTAAAAGAAAAAAATCAAAGCAACAAGAATTCCAAATAAAGACAAGAACAGATATTAAGACAGAGGAAACTTCAGCACTGAGGAAGTACAATGCAGTTTTTGTTTCTTTTTTTTTTTTTTTGAGACGGAGTCTTGCACTGTTGCC